TTTGGATGGGTCATTTCTGATAAATTATGAGGAAGTAATGCATGGTCAAAGTTGAGTTGACTTTTCCTGCAAAACCCTAACTTAGCAACTTTTGGGTTTTGATGAATTGTGAGCAATCCTTGATGAAAAATGATCAACCCTTGATCAAATGATGAATGTACTTCAAAATGAGGATGTTGACCAAAAAACTTTAAGTTTTACTGTATGTGGGCCACAGTTGACTTTTGACCTAGCATAGTCGATTTTCAGGTCTTTCAGCAATTGACTGAGCAAACTTCCTCTACAAGGCTTGAAACTTGACATGGATGATCTTGAGAATATATTAGAACAATGGTGAGAATTTTGGATCCTTTGGATTCAAGCATCTTGATGAAAAATGAAACCCTAATTTGAGGTAGACTGCCTTAGGAGAGAGTTTGTCTGGTCAACTCTTGGACTTCCTTGAACAATTTGAGGACCTCACTTGACATGTATTAAGAAATATTTGAGGGAAAGTTTTAGGGTACAACACTTGTACATCGTTAGCAGAGTTTTTATTCAAAAGCACACTGTTTGAAATTTCTGGCATATTACTCATCATCCTCCCTCCAGAGGTATTTTGCTTTATTTAACAAGAGTTAAGTATCAAAGAGTCAAAGAGAAACATCAATGATTGAATACAAATAGATTAATTCTAGACAAACAAATTTAATGCATTGTGATTAATATTCAACAATAAGCAAGTTTTGCATACAAGAAAGTACTGAACCAAAGCAAGAAAGATTACAAATGAGAATTTCAAATGAAACTAGAAATTTCCATGTTTAGGAGACTAGTCTCTGTATGGACTTGTTGCTTCAGACGATGATTTGACATTATTGACATTTACTGAGTCAAAGGAGACCTCAAATTTAACTGGTTGGCCCGAAATTGATAGCCTTTGCATCAAGCAGGTCTTGCACATTTTCTTTGAAAGCCTTGCAATCTTCAATGGAATGGCCTAGTGCCCCGGCATGGTAATCACATTGCACATTTGGATCGAAATCCATAGGATAAGGAGGAATGACGGGCTTCAGTGGCTTGGGTTCCACCAAGGAAAGCTTGAGCAACTGAGAGAACAACTAGCCATAAGTCATGGGAACAATGTCGAACACCCTCTTTGGCTTCCTATCCCTTTGCTTACCTTGTTGCATATGTGCCTGTTGATAGGTTTGTTGCTGAGTAGAACATTGAACTAGACGAACACGAGGAACATTCTGATTTTGATTAACCATCTTATTTGCATATCTTGTAAACAGCTTTTGGTGAGAACTATCTGAGAGTATAGGTTGTGGAAGATGTGACTTTGGTCGTGAGATAGAACTTTGAATAGGAGAAGGCGTAACCATATTCTTTGTAGCAGTTGGCATAAGTTTGACTTGCACACTCAGGCCTTCGGGAGTGAAGAGAATTCTCCCTGCATCAAGCAAATCTTGAACTTGGTGCTTAAAAGCTATGCAATCTTCAGTATCATGACCGGGTTCCCAGAATGAAATTCACACCTAGCGTTATCGTCAAAGCCACGAGGGAGCCTTTCACGTGTAGTGAAGATTAAGAGTTTGACCAAATGAAATTCTAGCAGAGGAGGAAGCAATTGTGCATACAACATTGGAATAGGATCAAACTGTCGTTCAGGCTGTTTTGGCCTCTGCTGATGGACTTTACTCTTTGGGTCCTCTTGGGAGATGACAACGGGTTGCGGATGGGAAGATCCTGGAACACAAGGCAGTGGAGGAGATACTCCTTGACCTAAAAGAGTCCTCATATTATGGGGAGGAGTGGTAGCTCTTATTATAGTAGACATAGAAACATCTTCTTTCTTCAACATTGTCCCAAAAATTTCCATAACCAAATTCAGTTGAGTCTTCAACTGAGTGTTTTCTTCTTTCAAGAGTTCTTGTACACGGACCAAATCCTGTATGTCTTGCATCAAGAATCCCATCTATTCTTTCATCTCTTCCAATTCCCCACGAAGTTGTTCCATATCTTAAATCTGATCACGAAGCGGCGAGAAGTCAAGATTTGCAGCTCTGAAAAGAAAATATCGGGTCTAAATAAGGATTCCCCATTCCGACTGCCTTCGGAGTACCTGCTATGGATGCATGAAGATGCATGAGGTGAATGAGCGGATGCAATTCCATGTTAAAACTTTTTTTTTTTGCATACAATCTTTCACATTTCCCTTTTTTTATGTAAAATAAACATGCTATGATGCAATGTACAATGACATAGGTTCAAAAGTTTAGCACAACAACTGTAAAATCCTCTGGACAACTGATGTATAAATCTGCTGAATAATCCGAATATCACGGGGTCAAAGGTTCGGCACCAATTTCAGCATACAATAGAACCAAGTACCATGAATAACCGTTTTATAATCTCTGGCCAAGTGGAATATATCAGGATCAAAGGTCCAGAACATATCCTGAATACCGAATCTAGAAACTCAAAATAAATCTGAGACCCACATAGTCGCCAACAGAACAACGGTCACCATCAGAACATAGTCACCATCTATACCTGTAATAATCAAGTCCCTCCCCTCTCACGGGTGAAAACTAGGTCAGGGTAAGGTCGGGTAACCCAGAATCAAGGGTACTCCTAAGAAAACTATCGCCGTATCACCTACGTGAAAATGATAGCCCCTCATTTGTACCTCATCTGAGCATGGACGACATGACGTCAATAGTGAAACCTAGGTCAACTAGCCGTTCATGTTCCACTATATTCCTAGTATCCTAGTTCACTCTGGCCTAGGTATTGGGCCTTTTACCTCATAGTAACATCCACCCAATCATGAAAACAAAGCCAGCATAGCAGTATCACCAATATAGAAAACAATAAAATGCAATGCAAACATATTCACAAATAAACATGTACAAAATGAAAAGTCTATAAAGCATAAAAATAAACACCAAAGGAAAAGAAAACAAGAGCTAGGAGCGACTCCGGGATGGACCATCATTTGGTCGACCTTGTCTCCCCAGTGAAGTTGCCAGCTGAAACAACCGGCTGAGAATCATCAAACAATGAAGTCGCCATCGAACGTCTTTTATCCCACATGAAGGGAAAGGTAAACATCGAGAAAACCTGAGAAGGGAGAAGTTACAGTCTTGTGATCAAGAGATCAGGTAAGGGAGTCTGTTACGCGAGGGGAAGGTATTAGCACCCCACGCGCCCGTAGTACTCTACGGTATCCACTCTTGTTGTCTATCTTATGGGTGTGTTTAATCTATATCTAAGTTGTACAAGAAATGCATGCAAAAGAAATGAGAAAAGAATGTAGGGAAAATAAAAGTTGTGCTCGTTTGAGCCCTACCCCAATGCCTACGTATCCCTTTTAAGTAATCAGAGCAGTTGTAGTTCGGCTTACATGTTTTTGTTGGTTTTTGTTTTTTTAATGAACAACATTAATTTCTCCTTCTGCCGCAGCTCGACCTTTGGAGACTTACGCATCAGCACAAAAGTGAATTAACATGTTCTTTCTAAAAAAGTTTGAAAGAAAATCTCGAAGGCGCAAAAAGGTTTATATTGATTGGTATTTTTTACCTTAAAGAAGGATTTGAAAGTTGTTAGATGTTTTATGCTTTTTCAAGAAAAAGAGTTTTAGTCTTAATGCAAGGATGCAAAAGAAAAGAAAACATCTAAGGGAGACTAACCTAGATCTAATCCCTAATGTTATCATACAATGATTAACCCTAAGGTTTGAGCTTTGAAGGGAAATCTCTACCCTAAGATTGACATGCTTGGATAACAATCCTAATGTCTATCTCAAATCATCATCTATAGATGAATCAAGAGCTCCTAAGGGAACATGCCGAGGGTATGTCATCTCAAAACATGCACACAAAGATGAAATCAAACAAACAAGCCAATAAGCTCAAGAGATCTAGCCCAAGGGAGCACATCTAGAGAGATCCTATCTAGGCTATCATTACCTAAGAAAGTCTAACAAAAACTATCCTACGAGGAACATGCAATGAGAGTGAAGTCGTGATCTCAATTTCTAAATTGAGCGACTCATCGATCAATAAGAAATAAAGGAAAGCGATAAAATCCTATAGGGAGCATGCACTGAGAGAGAAGGCGTGATCTCAATTCCTTGAGTGACTCATCGATCAACAACCAAGGAAACAAACACAAGCACAACACATATAGCAAATGAAGTGCGGAATGCCTGCTACAGGTCTTTAAACAGCGACTTCGAGCGCATGCTCTTTATTTCCTACTTATCATGATATCTAGAAAGTAGTAAAGTGAGAAATGAGGTAAATAAGAGAAAATACCAAACAGAAATCAACCTGTAGCAAAGCGAGCAAAAACATAGAAATCCGGAAAACTTCGAGTAAGCTTCACCAAGCAAAGAGAAGACTCAGCAATCAAATTCCCGGAATAAGCGTCAAAACATCATCGATATGAAAATAAATCACAATTGAAATCTCAAGCGCGTCCATACACCACACAATAAATCTGCGTAAGACTCAAATCTCAACAAGAAAAGGTGAATTACCAATCTCAAATATAATTGGATAATCGGGATTTAATTCCTAAAAATCACCAAAAAAAACTAACAAGTTTTTATATTTGACTTTATTATCTTTATCATGTAAAAAGAAAAAATTCAAGCAAATCTAAACAATTCACAAAATTATTTAAAAGAATAAACTCAGGGGGTGCAAGAAAAGATCATGGGTACTGAAGTAAACCACTAAGAATTCCAGGCCCAAGCGTTAAGATCCAAGAAGAGCTCTTTTTGTATTATAAAAAAAAACATAAACATTGGACCGAGGGAGAGTGTAAGCAGTAAATCAAGGGGTACACAAGTCAGGGCGCTAGGCCCAATTCACCTTGAGTCCACATTGCTACTTTGTTTGAAAGGAAATTGTCCAAAAAAAATCCAGCTAGCGGGACTAGTAAAGAGGTACATCATTTCGGCCCAGGGATTAAAATTGTTGTGATTATTGGTCTTCTACGTGAAATAGATGGAATCCCTCCCTCTTTCTCTCGAATGGCGCAGGTACCCTGAAACAACATCTTCTCTGATTCACGAACCTCGTTCACCACCTTTCATCATTAACAACAATCTCATTCGGCTCTCTTCTCTCCGTCTCCATCAACCCCCATTTTGTTACCGTCTCAGCCTTCCTCAGAACCATGCAAAAACACGAAGCTTTGAAGCTTCCAAATCCGGTCACATAATGCACATATTCAAACAAGATGTGATTTGAAACGATGCGGGAAATAGGAATTGAAACTCACCGGTCAGAGTTCGTCCGACGGGTCTTCGAAGATGGTGATTAGAAGCGTAAAGCCACGAATATTTGCCTCCAGGTATCTTCTTGAACTTTGCTTCTTTGGTTCAGTTCCTTTCTTCTTCTCTCTCTTACAATTCTATTTCTGTTTTAGGCGCCTTCGTCCTTGTCCTAATTACGAGGAGGAGAATGTATTGAACATTGTCTTTGTTATACAGAAGTTGCACGTTGTTGAATAAAATTACAGTGAGGCTGGAGGATGCGATTCACCTATGAAGAATGCTGACGTCGACGAAGATTCTGTGGTGTAAAATGCAGAAACTATGTGTTGTGGTCATGAATGCGTGGCTTGCAAATTTATGATATAGGTTACACAGTGGTGAAGGGTTTAAAGATGGTTGTAGCCATTCGTGCTTGAAGGTGATAATGATTTGTTGAAGGTGACTGAGGATGTGAAGTGGCTGCGGTTGTTGGTGAAGAGTTATGATTGAAGAACAGAATATAAATATGAAGATGATGAAGGATGCAAATGAAGATTGAAAAGAGAGAAGTGAGAAAATTCTCAGATACTTTTGGTGGTGATGGAGAGAGAGATATTTTTTTCTGTTTTTTTCCGCAGAATTTGGAGGATGAAGTGAAGAATGTTGAGGATGATTCTAGAGCTGTGAGATAGCTTCAAGAGATGCATTTTCTGTGATTTTTTTCTGCGATTTTTGAATAAGGACCCCTGGAAGAGGTAAGTTATCTTTTTATAGTTTGTTAGTATTGCAAAAGTTAGTTATGATTGAATTGATCTCAACCCTTGGTTTTGAAAGGTTCAGTTAGTGAATAAATGGTGAGATGAGAGTCGGTTACACAGGTTTTTTCTTATTCAGTTAGCAATTTGTTAGATATTACCTTATCGGCTATGACATGAGATGGCCATTTATTTTTGTTATTGAGTTAGCTAGTTTACGGAATTCTGTTATGGCAGTTAGCTTTTTAGTTCTGACTTACTGATATTTTCATTATTTCCTGACTTCATTCTGTTTTCGCGGTTTCCTGAATTTGGTTTCTGATTTTTAATGCAGGGATGGGATTTGGTTGCGGGCAGAAGCCTGAGCACATTCTGCAACATGATCAATATGTCTAACATTAGAAGGCCGCCCAATTTCCATTGAAGAAGCAATATCAGAACCAGTGGTGCTACAAACAATCAAATGTTTTCTAAAAGTAGCAATCAGATGAGTCAAAATAGAAAGTTGGTCTCTCTCTCTTTCCTGATTTTCCGTTAGTGAGTGCAGTTAGCCATTAATTCTTAACTTTCTGCTATTTATTGTTTTCTGATTTCTGGTATAAACAAAATGCAGGGTTGATTTACAGTTTTATAGTTTCAAAATTATGGATTGTGGAACTCAGTTGTTTATTGTGTTTGTGAACATAGCACGACTGCCGTATTTGGATTGAAGTTCGGTGCAGGCCTGAAACCGCTTTGGCATGACTTGGGCTTGGAAGCAACAGGCTATTTGTTGATTTAACTTTGGATAAGGCATAAAGCAAAGCTGCAACTTGAAACCTGGACATGGAATTGAAAACTAGGAGTTTAGGAAACTAGGTTTAGTGTGGATTTGTGTAACTTACATTTTTTTGTAGTTCCTTTAGAATGTAATGAAATGGCTTGCAAATGAACACTTGAAATATGGATTACTGGTGTAATGGTTTGAATTTGGAAATGAGTCATGGTTGAGAAGGCTTGCATACTTGGACATGGAGTTGGAATTAGTTTAGGGGTTAGAATAGATCCTGATGACTTTCCTGATGTAAATGTCTTTGAGGTATTTTATAATGTAATGTTTGAAAATCTTTGCATGGTGTTTAGAAAAATTATGGCTGAATGGTCATGAACCTTTGAGTGAACATTGAATGATGACTGTTGATGTTGAACTTGAATGACGTCAATGAAGGTTTGGAGTGCATTTGGATTGATTTCTAACGGTATTTGAATGATACTGAAAGTGACAACTTGAACCAAAAATAATCACTCGAATGGAATTAGAATGAACGACTATGTATTGCCATTTGTATATTATATTTTGCATTCCAAGAAACCCTTATGACTAAGGTCTCCAAACTCGCTTGAAACAAAAACCAACGCTTAGATTTCTTTAATACCATTTGATTATCCTCTAAGCACTTCACTTCATGACTCGGTGAACGAATTCCAACCGACTTGCAGATTTAATGAACCAGTCCTGAACTCAAGATATGACATGACATTTAACCGAATCAATGATATTCATGCATGAACTCAGTCAAGAAAACAACCTCTCCATATTGAATTTTAGGAATTTAGCATAAGATGGTATCTGAGTGATGGCTTCGGTGAAAGGAATCTCTACATGGAGTTTTTCTATAACTTTAACGAATCTCTGGTATTGATTATCAAGTTTGGTTTGTTTAAGTCTTTATGGAAATGGGATTGGGGGTTTGTATGGGGGTGGTGATTTATTAGTTTTATCTTTTAATTCTGGTTCTTTTTGCTTTTCGGGTTCCTCTGGTTCCTCCACTTGGTCTGTAGGCAAAACATTTGTCTTAGGTTGTGAGGGTGTACTCATGGCTGGATCCTTGGGTCCATCGTAAGTAATTCCACTTCGTAAGGAAATGGCATTAGCTTGCCCTTTAGGATTTGGTTGAGGTTGTCCAGGGAATTGTCCTCCAGGTGTAGTTTGTGGGGCTTGTGTTTGGGCTATCTGCGATATCTGGGTTTCAAGCATCTTGTTATGCGTAATCATCTGATCAACCTTAGTTCGCAATTGCGTGACTAGTTCGTTTACGTGAACATTCTGATTTAGGAACTCTTTGTTTTGCTGGGTTTGAGCTGAAATCAAATTTTCCATGATTTTCTCAAGGTTTGGTTTGGGTGCCACAACTTGCATAGGTTGATTTGGTCGTTGGGTTTGGAAACCTGTAGGTCTCGGAGGTGCAGAGTTTTGTATTGGGCTATTGTTTTTATAAGAAAAGTTTGGGTGATTCCTCCATATGGGGTTGTAAGTGTTTGAAAATGGGTTTCCTTGGGTGTAGTTTACTTGGTCTAAGAAAGGCTCATTCAACAAGTTACATTTCGCAGGTTGATGTCCTTGGGTCCCACAGAGTTCGCATTCTGAAGCTACTGCGGCTACAGTATTAGGGTTTTGAGACATGTTTTGAACTTTTAAGGCAAGAGCATCCATTTTAACTTGCATCATGTCTAGAGAAATTATCTCATGTTTTCCTCCTTGGGTCTCCTTTTTCTCTACCATAGCTCATTTTGTTCCCCATTGGTAATGGTTTTGGGCCATATCCTCAATGAGAGTGCAGGCTTATAGGTAAGGTTTATTCATTAATGCGCCACCAACAGCAGCATCGATAGACATCAATGTCGCTTTCGCGTAATCAGAACCAAGTTTACTCTCTAATCATACCTTCTTATCTTCACTTATAAAAAGGCGCGTATTGCGTTAAAGTAATAAACCTATTTTTAAGAAATAAAGTACTTGACCAAGTTGAAAAGTATTTTGATCTGGAATTTCTAATAAAAAGGGAACCTAACTTTAACTCTATAAACGCGTCCGAAAATAGTTTCAAAATTGATTTCTTTGATAATAAAAATCCCTAACTAACTGGACAAAGAGCTTTCGCTTCCTTTGACCAGTTAGAACTAACCGAGTTTAACAAAAGGTTGGACGGTTTTCGATATTGCCCAACAACAATAAAGTACAGAAAACTCGTATTAAAAACCAAAATAGCCCATAAGCATTTTTATTGACACATTATTTGGAATATTGATCTAACTAGATTCCTTACATTCTAGCCCAGTGAGGTTTATCCTGACATGGGAATATAAACTGACATGTTAAAATAAATCATGCAAGAAAGTAAATAATTTAAAGTGCGGTGCGGAAAATAAACAAAGTAAAAGAAGGTGCAGAAAATAAACAAAGTAAAAGCAGGTGCGGGAAATAAACAAAGTAAAATCAGTGCAGAAAATAAACAAAGTAAAAGCATGTGTGGGAAATAAACAAAGTAAAAGCAGGTGCGGGAAATAAACAAAGTAAAAGCAGGTGCGAGAAATATAAATAGAAACCTACTCCAAATAGGGAGGTTTTAAATTTGGTACAAACTGGAAGTAAAATGCGACTGGAAATAAACAGCAGTTGAAAATAAATGTGGCAGGATAAACTTCTGCCGAAGTGTTCCAAACTCGATTACAGACTCAATCTATGAACTCAATCACAGACTCAATCAACAGTGCAATAATTCCCCGATATGAAGAATTATCGCTTTACAATGGTGAAATTATATGGCTTAAGTTCACAATTATGGTTGGATCAAGTTTGCAACTAAGCTTGGATAATTTGAAATGAAATCAGGAACTTCTATTTATAGAGGATGGAGAATGCAGGAAATCACAGGAATGTCCCCCAACTCCTTTTGGGGGGGAAAGTATCGTCCAAAGGTGGCGCCTGCCATGGGGGACATGGCGCCCTCCATGTGTGTAGATGAAAGGGAAGTGGGGAACGTGGCAGTTGAGGTCAGCAGGAGGTGGTCCACATCATGGCCTACCCTATGGCTGATGCCATGGTGGACGCCATGAGTGCAAATTTGACCTAAACTCCCGTTTTTCAGCCTGTTTTCCTTCATTTCTTCAGGGGAGCTCTGGATAATTGAAATACTTGAAAAGGAAACAAAAGATAGGCATAATACGAGAAAACAATAATAAAAAACTAAATAACATGTGAAATCAGAGTCAAAAACAAGTGTAAAGTAAGTGTTATCAGGATGTTAGTACTGGAATGAAAGTTGTGGAAAGTGTTGAGGAGAAGAAGGCTACGGGTGAATCCAGTGGTGCTACTTTGGAGAAAGAGGTGGATGATATTTTAAAGATAATCAAGATTAGCGACTATAGAATTGTAAATTAGCTACTGTAGACTCCTTCTAAAATATTTATCTTGGCTTTATTGATGAACTCTGCTGCTCATGGAGAATCTTTGATGAGGGTATTGGACCAAGCTTTCGTGGAATGTGTTATGCCAGTAGACCAATTTAACAGTGTGGTAGGGAACATTACATCATGTAATAACCTGAGTTTCTGCGATGATGAATTTCCCGATGAAGGAAGGAATCACAACCTGGCCCTTCATATCTCTATGAACTACAAGAATGATTCATTATTCAATGTGCTGATTGATAATGGATCCGCATTGAACGTTATACCAAGAAGCACACTTATTAAGTTGAAATATCAAGGAATGCCCATGCGCCCAAGTGGCATTATTGTGAAAGCGTTTGATGGGTCAAGGAAATCTGTTATTGGCGAAGTGGACTTACCTATTCATATAGGCCCACATTTGTTTCAGATTACTTTCCAGGTCATGGATATTATACCCGCTTACAGCTGTTTGTTGGGACGGCCGTGGATACAAGAGGCAGGGGTTGTCACTTCGACTTTACACTAGAATTTGAAGTTTGTGAGTGAAGGAAAAGTGGTAATTATAAATGGAGAACATGCATTATTGATATCTCATTTGTCCTCTTTCAGCATTGTGGAGGCGGATGAAGCTGCTGTTGGAACCCAGTTCCAAGCTTTATCCATTGACAATATAAGAGGAAATGAGAGTTCTATGGCTTTGTTTAAGGATGCTCAGTAGGTTGTGTGTAATGGCCATAGTAAAGTACGGGGACAGATTGTTGATCAACCTATAAACAAGAATAGAGCTGGCTTGGGGTTCTCTGAAGAATGATAAATGTAAGAGCATGAAGCCGAAGTTTTCTGCAGGCGAGTATCAAGACATCTTTCATAGCGAGGGTTATCTTCATCCAACTGTTTCTGGGATTAATGCCATTATGGAAGACGAAGCAGAGCCAGAAATGTCAAATTATGTGACGCACGGAGTTAGGGTTCAGAACTGGATCACCATTGATGTTCCCTCTTGCATACATGTTTCAAAGTAATTTGTTTTTTGATCATCCTTTTGAAAAAAACTTTCACTCTGCCCAAGGTGAAAGTATTGATATTGTATGGGCTTATCTATTTGCTTTGATTGTTAAAATTAATAATAAAAGTTGTCTTTGTTTCCCAAATTGTGTTTTTCTTTTTTTCTTTTTTCTTGGATAATGGTAATCATAAAAAAAAATCAACATAAATAATAACTGAAATTCAATCTGCATGATCACTTGTTATATGTGTCATTTTCTGAAAGCAATCATAAATCATATGTGCAGATTAATTAAAAAACTCGTTGAATACAATGACCCTGCACCCTCTCCCAACTTTGAATGTCCTGCGTATGGGGCTGAAGAAGAAGACTATGATCAGATTCCGGAAGAGGTCTCACGGTTGCTTGAGCGCGAGGAGAATGCCATTCAGCCATATAAAGAGCCATTGGAAGTAATCAATTTAGATTCAGAAGAAAGTCCGAAGGAAGTCAAGATTGGAACATTACTGCATACTGATGTGAAGAGCAGGTTGATTGAGATGTTGAAAGAGTATGTGGATATTTTTGCTTGGTCTTAC